ATTTAGAAAATTACCAGGTGTTTTACACTGAAACTGTATGTGATTTCCTGACTAGCCCTATGTTATTGTCGTGTCCCAGCTTGCAGCAAAAATAGAAGCCAATCTTTAGCTGCGCAAATGCTGCTTCTGGGACGCGCCAGAAAATGTCCGTGTCACGACTGGTTTGAATCACCCCAATAGACTATAATGGTTTCTAATTTGAAGTAGCGACGTTCCGCTGCCGTTCCACGCCGCTGAAGCAGGGGAACTCTTAATTTTCAATATTGATATATGTGCCCCCCGAAACAGAAAAGTAAATTGTCTTTAGTGGCAAACATTACATTTCTTCTATCGTGCATGCTTAAACATTATCTGCGTACTTTGTCTCCAACAGCATCTGAATCACATTCTCCCTGAGAGTGTCTTAAAGCAGTGTACCCATGCTTAGCTAGGCTAATTGCTAAGCATGATGCTAAGATGTGTGTAATAGTTACTCTTTTTCTTTTTCTGTATATTGCAGCTATGGTGATAACACACATAAAGATCTTCAGATAAGAAAATCAAGCCTTGGGTGAAGAATCTTGTTTTTATTTTAGTCGTTTGCTAGCTGGCTAGCTACACATGTGATGTTAGGACAGTGTACCTTCACTACAAAAAAAGGACCTGTGATGTAGATTATATTTCCTGACTATATGGGTTTACTTACCCAAAACGTGCTGTTTTATGTAAAAGTGACATCTGCAGAGTAAAGCCTTGTGACTTCACTGAAAAGACAAGAGTGCAGAAACAGTGACAGCGTAGTCATAACAGCCTAATTTTGTTAAGTCTCTCATAAAAGCTTCTGTATGGATGATCTAGAGTAGAACAATGATGAGTGACTAGATTTTTTTAAAAAGTGCACATTTGTGAGAGTGTCGAGCACAGAAAGCAACAAAGAAGAGATCATAAACCAAAGTGGTGCGTTATATCAATGGGGATTAAAATAATAGCTTCTTATTGTGTGTTTTAAAAATGTAGATACATAAATACAGCCAAGCCTTCCATCCATGTTCGTATTGTTGCTACTCGATATTGTACTTTATTGTGATTAAAAAAGAAAAAAAAGGATCATAGAGAGTTTGGGGAAAGTACTCTCCAACCCACTAAAATAAATTCATAATGGTGGCTTTTTTAGAGAATGAACTGAGCTAATGTTGATCTTACTGAACTCCATAATGTGTCTGAGCACCCCAACAGCAAAGGGCCACTGATAAAAATAGTTAATAAGGTTTAAATTACAATGGTTTGTTTGATGGATTAATATTTGTGTGTCTCTTTTGCTTTAATATACCCAGATTAATAACCTTTAAACTTATTTACTTGATTTTGCCTTAAACTAACTTTACTCACCCTCCCTGTTTTTAACTCTTCCTGTCACCTCCACTTGTCTTTGTGAATATGCGTTTGTTTAAAATCTGCCCCGTTCTGTGTCCTCTACTTCTGCCTCCTCGATGCATAACACGTTTGGTAAGGAGTGGAGCAGCTAGTGCAGTACTTCACTGACAGAGCGTGGTATAGTAACCTTTTCCTTACCATGAGCGACGCGTGACACGTGGCATGACACAAGCATGCCTTTCTACTTGGATTTGCATGATGTGATTTTGGTTTTCAGTCTTGAATTTCTGTTTTTCTCTCTGGGATGTTGTGGCCTGTATTTTTTGTTTTTGTTTTTAGACAATAAGGTTTTGGAGAAGGAATTATTTGGTTTCTTTTTAAAAAGGAGAAATGTTTTGTTTTTGCTTTTGTCTGTTTTCCATCCATGCCTTTTTTAAGTTGCTCCACCTTAGTGAAAGTCTTCTGCATGCTTTTTAATGCTTTGCAACTTTCAGAGGGGATGACATTTAATATTGAACCTGTGTCAACGGATGTGGATGCATATTAACCTCTTTTCTCCTCCATCGAAAGCAGAGGAGAAAGTGTGTTACAAGTTTAACAAGTCACACACTCACAACCCATCCACAGTTTGTGTTTGGACAAAGCCATTCACCACAATTGACATATTGAATCCAATCTAGCTTTGAAATGGTACGCCATTTTATTGACAATCTCATCTACCGCATGTGCCGCAATCAAACATCATCCTGCAAACCCCCTCACAACCTCTCAATCCATATATTCATCTTCTTCTTGTGTGTTATTTTTCTAATCATCTGCCATTTCTCGTGGCGATAGAAGGGGGAGATGAGATTGATCACGGTGGTCCGTGACACCTTCCAGGTGCCACAAATTGGCATGTTGGTGAATTTCTGTGTGGACGATAGCTATCATTAGTAGCTGGGATATTCACTCCATGATGGTGCTGTAAAGAGCTCAGAATGATTGCTGCAAATTATTAGTATCTGAAGCAGACAGCTGTAGATGCAAATAATTACTGGCTGCAAGCTTTTAGTCACGTCATGTTGCTATCACAGCCTGGCTTCCCCCAACCAAGGGGCGACGGTGGCACAGGAGTTAAGTGCTCGCCCCGTAATCGGAAGGTTGCTGGTTCGAGTCCTGCTCAGTCTGTCGCTGTCGTTGTGTCCTTGGGCAAGACACTTAACCCACGTTGCCTGCTGGTGGTGGTCGGAGGGACCGGTGGCGCCAGTGCTCGGCAGCCTCGCCTCTGTCAGTGCGCCCCAGGGCAGCTGTGGCTACATCGTAGCTCATCACCATCAGTGTGTGAATGTGTGTGTGAATGGGTGAATGACTGATTGTGTTGTAAAGCGCCTTGGGGGGTTCCAGGACTCTAGAAGGCGCTATATCAAATACAGGCCATTTACCATTTAACCAAGAGAGGTAGGAATATAATGTGCATCCATTGCAAACCTCATAAATAAAGGTGGCATATAACTGATATCATTACTAGACATTAAACAGAGACTCGGCAATTTTGCTTTCTTTTAGCACCCTCTAGTGTCCGTTTAGTGGAACCAAAAGCAAAACCCATCACTTCACTGTGTTTGTCATTTTAATATCTTAATCTAATAGCTGAAATGTCTCCTCAGCCTTCAGTAGTGTCTGCAGGAGCGGTTAATCACTAAATTAAACAAGTCAGCTGCGTTCATGATCTAAAATATGCAGGAAGCGTGCTGGAACCAGACTGCAGCTCAATTTTTTAAAGTCCTGCAGACCAGACTGGCATCTCTGAAGTTGCAAGTGGAATATTCTGGACACAGGGGGCAATAGGGGATGGGTGGCCTTTCATTAACCATGTAAAGGGTCATTTTAACATATAGTGGTTCAAAAATATCAAAATGTTGCAAAGTTTCCATACCATACCATTTATTTATAAAGCACATTTAAAAACACTGCATGTCAGCTGACCAAAGTGCTGTACAAGTACAAGGATAAATACATGATGAGTCAAACACAGCAAAAACAATAAAACACAACACAGTAAAACAAGAATACATCAACAATGGGAGAAAGCCATATCATAAGTCTTTAAAACGGATGTAAAATGAGAGAGGGAGGGAGCCTGCCTGATTGAGAGTGGGAGTGCATTCCAGAGAGTGGGGGCAGCATACATAAAAGCCCCCTTACCCCACAATTTATATCTCAGTGGTGGTACACAGAACAGCAGACGGTCAGCTGACCTCAGAGCCCGGTTTGGAACATGGGGATTAATCAAATCAGAAAGATATCCTGGGGCAGAGCCGTTCAAAACCTAAAGACAAAGACCAGGAGCTTGATCTTGACATGTGAGTTCACAGGTAATCAGTGCAGATATTCCAGAACGGGAGTGATGTGAGAACGCCTGTTAGTGTGTCAAGAACCTGGCTGCAGCGTTTTGAACCACCAGGAGTTGATTTAGAGCCTTTAAAATAAAGCCAACTGACCTAAAAATGAGTTCAAACCCCATTTTTGTAAAGTTTTACTCTGAATAAAGGAAGATCTTAATATGAAAAAATATTTAATTACAGATTTCACTCACAGTTTCTGTCCCACAGATTGTTCGGTGATGTCATGTGTTAATTGTGAATTGTATTTCAAAAAGCAGAGGTCATTATGGAGTGCTTTTCCCTTTCATAATAAGACATGACAGAAATAGAACATGAAAAACTAATTAACATTCCAATTGAAATACGTCATAATGAGCCATATTGTTAGATTCAACTCAAATATCCATTCTTAAGAGAGTTGGAAATAAAACAAACACTAAAACACTCAACAGTCACATCGATGGATGCAATGCAGCGGGGGACCAGGAGATGGAGCTGTGGAGCTGGACTTCTGCTCACACACACACTCGCACACACACACACGCACACACACACACACAACTGACCAGAAACAGACACAGCAACCTGACCGCGGCTATATATTCACATCCTCTGAGATCCTTTTTACTTCCCACTCAGAGAGTGTGTGTGTGCCAAACTGGAGTTCAGGCTCATTAGTGGCTGGAGATGGTTTTAGGTGGGTTGAATACTGAAAGTCCTGCCAAGGTACAGAGGTGCCTAAAGAGCAGGTCTCAGATATCCTGAGTTCAATTCCGACTCCAGATCCGTATCAAACCAAGCGGCTAATATTAGAAGCATCATGGGGTGTTTTATTGATCTTCTGAGTCATAAGCTACTTAAAGCATGAACTTGTTTTTCTGGCATGGTACCCACGCGAATAGGGGATGGTTGCTCATATCTGAAAATGTGATTAGATAAAAAGAAAAGCTCTTTTTTTGTTCCATGTTGATTTCCTTTTAAGAGCCAAGCAGTTTTGTTGAATGATGGCAGGAAGCTACTAGCTACCTGAATCTAAAGAAAAACAAGAAACGGTAGAGAATCACATATGAACTCCCAAACAAAATGCAGGTTGTGATTTGTTTAGTGTTTAGTGAAAGACTGCGCGATAGCTGGTATAACTTCCCCACCGTTTGTGTTGAGAATAGTTCAGCGACAGTCAAAGCTTCATTCTCACTGTGGAAATATTCACATCATCTCTGTAAACAATCCCTGTCCTCAGATATTTTTATACACTGATAAAATCTTGTTTTCTTCCTGCAGCCTCCAATACTACAGCCTTTCAACCCCCATCTCAGCGAGCACCCCCACCAGGAAAAACTAATAAAAACTCCCCCCACCGAGGGCCGCAGTGAGATCACAAGGACTAGATCAATGGAAGTAATTCATCTAGATGATGCCTGTCCTCTTGAATCTACTAAAGAAGATGTGTCCACAGCGTCCGGCTCTGACAAGCGGAGGGATCTACCTCGGACCAATCAGCGCTGGTGTGGCCTTCGCGCTCCACGGGGGATAACTGGCAGAGATGTTCCAGTGTCAGCAGCTCAGTCTGCAGAACAGTGTGATTGGAAAGCTCCCGCTGCGATGCTGCAGAAGTCATTCGCTCCAAGATCTGCTGGGTCGACTTGCCCTGGCATGCTGCAGTCTCCTCGCCTTCACAAGTGCACAGCTCTTTCTGCATTGAAGCCGGGGAGTTCTGGTGGCTCTGCCTCTCTGCAGTCTGGGTTCACCTCAGAGCCACTTGATAAGCAGACCATGTGGCTGCCACCTCCATCTAGAGGCCTCCCCTGCTTTAACACTAGACCCCAGGTGCAAGATCCTAAACTGTTAGCCTCTCAGAGCATCAGAGACTCGAGATGATTCCTGCAGCGACAGACCCAACTCCCTGAATGAGCCCACCCAGGTGACACTCCAAGACTGTGGGTCAGCCAAGGTCCTGATTCTTTAGTAACTCTTGTGTCCTTAAGCCAAAGATTCCCATAGAAACTTAACCCCCCCCCCCCCCCCCCCCCCCCCCTCAATAAATTAAGAAAACCTAAGAATCCATCGCTTCTGTTCTCTGTCACAACACTGAGCATCAGATGAAGAAACCTGAACATTCTGAGGGACTGTTTATCAGCAAAATCACTTTTGTGACTGCTGTGTTTAATTTGGCCACCACAGCTTCTGCACTAAATGCATTTTGTAATCGATCAACATGCAGTACACAACCAGAACATCTTCACAGTGGGATGTTAAATTGTTAAATGAGCAGGGTATCCGCGGGTCCTTAAAAAGTCTTAAAAAAGACTTAAATTAGCTTTTCCAAATTTAAGGTCTTAAAAGTCCTTAAAAATGACTAATAATCCTTAAATACAGCTTTCAAAGGTCTTAAATTACCAAAGACCCAATAAACAAGATTCTTTTATTTCTATAAAATTTTCCTGATTTGTAGTTAGTCTTCATTAATTATTTGTGTATGAAATTGGCATAAGCGGAACCGTACACATTGGTTGGTTGTGAAAGGGGGCTATTTTTAGATGAGCACATTAGCTGGTTAAGCTAGTGGGAGCTTGCACCATGGGGAAATGCAAGTTTATTGGTAACTGGATGGCTAATCCCACGTTCGCGACGTGGTTAGCACCGGCTCCAGGCAATAGCTGGAAATTATAGCTTAAATTTAAAAATGGCTTAAATTTGGTCATAGTGGCCTTAAAAAAGGTCTTAAACGTCTTAAATTTGGCTCCCTTAAACCTGCAGATACCCTGAATGAGAGAAGTCCAGTTTTGGTTTTGAACATGTGCATGGATGCAGCATAAGGGGAAAAAAAACAAGTGTTAATATCTGCTACAAAGTCTGCTTTTTGTTTTCCTCTGCAATACCCCGCTGGCTAATGCCACATTTTAAATTCTAAGACTGCTTGTCCTCAGACAGCTGCGACCTCTGGCATACGAGCGCGTTTTTTTTTAAACACAGAGGTGATGCGACTGTGAATTTGCTGTGCTTTAGAAGGCCCAGAGGAAAACGGGCGCACAAACAAGAGGCGGGATTTTAAAAAAGAAAGGGGGAAGAAAAGTGAAGGTGAAATGGCAGCAAGAGAGTGAAAAGCTAATTCGTCAAATGCTGTGAAGCTTGTCATTTCCTGAAAAGAAAATATGTTCCTGTGTAAATGTGAGTGTGTGTCTGTAGTTGCACACGTCCTTCTGGTTCGGTTCACAGTGTAGAGCTTAAGAGCAACTGAACCCAGAAACCCTGCACGTATGCACTAAGAGGGTCACAGAGATGCGCCTGTTATGGCACTACAGACAAAAAGACGTTTTCTGATGGCAAAGCTTTAATTAGGAAAAACCTGTACCATGCGGAGGTGCAAAATAACAGGTACACACCGGAATGCACCCACGACGTATTATTTTTATGTTCCATGTGCAATGATAGATGGAAACCACACTGAAAAAAAGTTTTTCTTTGGAACAACTTGAAAAAAATCTCTTCAACTGGTAACACACAACTATATTAGGTGTGTTCAAAGAATGATTATAGTAAGCACGATGAGAAAGGTGGAAAGTATTAGAAAGCATATATATATATATATATATATATATATATATATATATATATATATATAAGGCATTAAATGTGCAAACACACACCAAAACCGGTTGATTATGGAGTTTAAGAGAGAAATCTTGAAAAATGTGCTGATAACCCACAAAACATTTAAAAAATATATTTTGTTGTTCCTTTTCTTTGAAAATCCTAAAGTTGGATTTAATATCACCGCCATGCTGTGTTTAGGAGTGTGTGAGTGAGTGAGAGTTCACCTGCCTTCAAGGAAAACAGAAAGCTTAAAAATATTTTTCCAAAAATGCAAATCAGTTAACTTTATTTTTAAATAATGGTTTCCCAAAAGGCAGCCCACTCAGCTTTTGAAAATCACATTTTACATCAGACAAAATATATCTTTTACATTTTAGCATCCGTCACTATAAAGTGTCATATTAGTAAATTTGAATGCAGCAAAGATTTGGTTTCCTTTTTGTGCGTTAGACCATTAAAGGTGAAACATGAAACTCTGGATGAGCTTCTTTGAGCTCATATTTATTAACTTCATAAGTTAACTGATCCTTTCTAGGCCCCATTACAAAAAATGAAATAAATATGTCAAATGATTTTATTCCATGTTTTAGTTGTTTTCTAAGAAACTATATTAAAATATTTATGACTCGTCCTGCTTGTGGGCGTGGACTAAGTTAGCATTGAAATAAATACTGTTTTGAAAACCATTTTGTAATGCCATCGCTGCTGCAGATGTAAAATTAGAATGATGATGTTGTCAACTCACCAGTCAAATGGAACAGGGGTCTCATTTATCAAACATTGCGTAGAATCCTTACTAAAACCGTACTTAAGCTCAGCAAAAAAAAAAGTACTTACGCCAAGTAGGTTTGTGATCTATCAAAAATGGAGTACACACAGCTGCACGCAGTCTCCGCTTCATAAATCAGAAACTAACGAGAATGTTTCTCAGCTGCTTTTTAGTCACATCCCGCCCTCACCACGCCCACTTACTGCCATAAATGTTGATGCAAAGTGCCTTCTGGATCTCATGCACATACATAAGCCGGCTTGTTGCAGCATTTCAATCACGACCGCAGATCAAGGAAGCGCTATTTCACAAACAGTTGAGGTACATGTGGGTGAGATGGAGAAATGAAAGGAAGTACTTTTGCAAAATAAGAGAAAATCCACGGAGTGGCACAGCATTGCTGAAGCCGTCAATGTTGTGTATTCACAGAGATCTGTGGCAGATATAAAAAAATGGTCCAATCGGGATTCGATCCCAAGACTCCCGGGTGAAAGTCGCGGGCTAACAAGTCACCCAAGTGGTGATCTCCCTTGTCCAAGTAGCCAGGGCGCATGATCAGTCGGGTCACAGTGACAGGACACACACTGTCACAGACGCATGACATTCTGTCTTAATCTGTCCCCCTGCTGATATTCTGCATTCCGTATTCTGCGCTTCAGGCTGTGTGAGTGTGCGCGCAAGTGTGTATGTGTGAGTGTGTGCGTGCGTGTGGGGGTCTTGTTCTGTGTGAAAACGAAGCAGTACAAGTGATAATGCTGCAGGAGTTCATAATTGTATCCTTCTCAGCAGCAGCACTGCAGGTGCTCTCCACGTCCAAAATGTGCGTAAGCAAGGTCCTTAGTCAACTTAAAGTTGCGCACATTTTTCCGCTAAGTTTTCTTTCATGAATCCCAAAGTTTGCGTGGAAAGTTGCTTACGCAGTTTTCCGACCCCGTTTTGTGCGTAAGCAAGCTTGATTAATGAGGCCCCTGGTCTTTAGTCCAAAATAACATCAATGGCTTGTTTTTGCACTCTACTGCTCATTTCACTAGGATCTGCAAAGCCAATTGCATTAAAACAATCATTTACATTTTTTCTCTCGGGATGCACAATAACAAAGAATAAAAAAATCTTGAAAAAATAAACTTTTTGTAGATAGAAGTTTAATAATGTAAGTTGTTTAAAACATCGTGATATGATTGAAGCCAACCTAGACAGTGGATGTGTCATGAGAAAGTGAGCCAATTAGAAGACTTGTGTGGAACATTTTTGTAGTATACTCTGTCTTCCTTGAACAGACTTTACTTTTAATCACCCACACATGAAAGCAGCTAACAGGGATTCATTAAACATGTGAAGCTGCCGCCTCGGTAAAAGCGTGTATTTGAGTGTCGCGCGTCTTTCTTCCCTTGCACGTCTCTTTGAGTAGATCAGAAGTATTAGCGGGTTATTTTCAGGTACAGCAGCCTTTGGGGCTGTGGCGGTGTCTCTGTGGGAGTTTTGGAGAAGTGTGTTTATCGCTCCTTTTCTGAGTCCCTTTTGCAGTCGTACGCTGCCGAAATGTCCCCAAATGGAGAGCAGCAGTGTGTTAAAAAGGCCTTCTGACAGCAGCTCTGCTCTCTTCTCTGTCACGCCGCGTGACCACTTGGTGTACGCCTCTGGCAGTGTCCGGTCTACTGCGTCCAATAATGCACCCTACATAAAGTGAGGCAGACACACACGCTCTAACCCAGATAGGATGTGTTTGTTAGCCAACTAGAGATGCTCATGTATATGAACTTTTAACACAACTTACAGACGATGTGAAACTCAAAAGGAAGTACGCACATCAGAATTCCTAACTGTCAAATGCACACAGATATTTAGAATCTCTATACAAAGTGCATAGAAGGGTGTTTGTTGTTGTGGCAGCTCTTGCAAAACAAGTACGCTCAGATCCATCGGTCTGCTGCTGTTGACAAAACGATGTGTGTTTCGAGATTACCCTGGAAATGGTTGCGTGTTTGAGAGCGAGAATCCACACGTCCGATAAAGCACGTTTACCTGTTGGACGGCTCAGCATTGTGCCAAACCAGCCAAGCAGTCAACGCCGCTCGCTGAAACCAAGAGAAAAAAAAAACATTTCTTTTAATGAAAACAGAAGCAGACAGGAAGGTGCACAGCGTGAAACGACAAAAGTGAGTATGGGGACAGAGCAGAAGACAAGTGAGGAAATATCGAAAGAGAAGACGATGAAGACATTTGTCCATACAGTAGGTATTGTCAAAATGAACATGAGAGAGGACAGAACATTGTACTGTGATACAGAGAATTGCCAGATCCCCTCAGCTGGGTGACTCTCTGCTCATTAATGCCAAAAAGGAAATCAGTGTTGCCTGTTCTGTGTATCTGTGTGTACATATGTGTGTCTCCAGACACCTCTGGCTGCCAGTGTTTGCCTTGTTGAAGAACGTGTCTGTGTGAGAGAGATGCTTATGTCTGGGCCAATGGAGAACCAATGCCAGGGAAAACAGGCATTCTGTTCTTCCCACCTCTAAATCAATGTTTGTGTACAACTCAGCCAATCAGTCTGATGAGCTGTGCCACGACTTCTTGAAAACCCTGCCACAAATGTGACAAAGGTTAAAGATGAATCAGGTATAGGGGGGGGGGGGGGGGGGGGGGGGGCATTATGTTGTAAAGGAATTTAAGGAGAATGTTCATGTTCAGCATTTTCTTAGCCAGTCTAGACAGACCGTTATTGGAGCAAAAGATGTTGCTCAGGAGGTTGGTGTAGCCACGCTCCAGTGTAGCCTCTGCAGGCCCCAACTAGTTTTAGATCACAGGGCTCAATGTTTGTATAGACGCTGGGCTCGCTTAACACCATTACAATGATGACATGGCTGCAACAGAGAAATGAAGATGAAGGCATTACTGGTTTCAAACGGCTTTGGTATCAACCATAAACAATTTCTATTTGGGCTTTTCTTTGAGACATGAGCAGGTAGAGGTACATGAGTCATTAGTTTTGAAAATGGATGGTGCTGGCCTGTTGATTGATTTTTGTTGCAATGAATATATTACATTATTCATTGCTCTGATTGGTTCTAGCTTAGTTTGAAAGTCAACCGAGCTCTACATGGGCCATGGCCAGACTATACCTTTGCACAGGATGGCTTGCAAAGTGAGTATCTTAACTGTGTACTAATGATTACTATGATGACTAAGACATATGTAGTTAATTGGTTTGGTTTCAGAGTTGAGTTCTTTGAATCATTCATAAACCTCATATCATGTGCAAATAGAGGAAATGGTAAAAACCGTACAAACAAGCCTTTTAAAAATTCTATTTCTGCTATAATCTGTTTGCAATCAAACTTGAACCATTTTACTGCTGTCAGAAACAGTAAAATACAAATTACATTTTGTCTAACTGAAGAATACACCTTTGATTGTTTCTGGCTTTATTTAATTGTATTTTTGGTGCATTGCTTTGTGTATTTACAGCAATTGGCTCAGCAGACTGTAACATTTTTTATTTATTTATTTTATTTTACAGCAGATTCAAATTCATACCACAAGTGTTCCTCTTGTCGTGTTCCACACAGCCGAATTCCCATCCAGACGTTTGCAGCGTTAGCAGATAAAGCATCACACTAGCTGTTCAAATTTTTGCCCTTAATAAGCGAGGTCGCTGTGCATAATATTGTATATCAGCCGCTCTCAGCTGCTATAAGCACTAGCTCCTCTACACGGTGCAATGCTGTGGAAAGAAAAGCAGAGAAAATGAGAGGGAATGACACTTTATATTTTTAGCCAGCTTTTATGCAAAAAGGAAAGAGAAGCTAATGTAATTCCAAACAGATGCACCTAAACTGCAATAGTTGTACATGCTGAATGAACAATAAACTGGATTACAAAGCCATCCTCAGTCTTTTACACTTTTTGCAAATATTTTTTTCACAAGACAGAAGCGAGTTTTAAATAATAAAAAAAAACAGGACAAGCAAAAATGTTTTGTTTACTATTAGTTCTTTCCTTTGAGTCTTGTTGGCATGGTGTAATGAGGTGTTTTTACTGTAAACTCTAAGTCAAAGGTGATGAGATGCAGCTGTGGTACGAGCTAGAGGCCACAGCTGAACGCTGACTTTACTAAGAAAAGTTATTGTCTGCTGCTTCGAGCGGAAATGAACTATGACTCTACAGCAGTGATCCCAAACTCCCTTCCCCGAGGGCCGGTGTCCAGCATGTTCCACTGTTTACCCAGCTTCAACCCACCTGATTTTAATCAGCAGGTGATTAGCAGGTGTCTGCAGAGCTTGATCAGCTGCTGCACAGGTGAATCATGTGGGGGGAAGGGAGTTGGTGATCGCTGGCATACAGTATCTGATTATATTCAATTTATTTTGTTTGTTTTGATTCATAAAAAACAGTTTTTAAAGATGGTTCTGTGTCAAAGTTGTGAGTTAGTGAGAAGCTTGGTCATCCAGGAGGGGCTCGGAGTAGATCTGCTGCTCCTCTACATCAAGAGGAGCCAGCTGAGGTGGCTCGGGCATTTATTAGGACGCCTCCCGGGGGAGATTTTTGGGGTACGTCCAACCTGGAGAAGACCCGGGACTCACTGGAGGGACTGTGTTTCTCTGCTGGCCAGGAAACGAGTTAGGATTTCCCTGGAGGAGCTGGCCCAAGTGGAAGTCTGGGCCTCTCTGCTCTGACTCTGGATAAGTGGAAGAAAATAGATGGATAGCACTTCCTGTATGCAGCAACAATCCAAGGTCCATTTGGCTGACGGCTAACAGGAAAGTTGCTGGTTTGATTTATGCAAACATTATTTTAGAAACTTTTACATTTCTGTCCATTTTTGTTGACTTTTTAGTAGTTTAATGTTTTAATCATATCTAAAATTGATTTTGTGCTCTTGTTTTGGTCAGAACTATTTCACAAATGATATCCCTCATCTCAGCCTGTGTTTCTGGTTAAGAGAAGGTTCTTTTTATGGTAATAATTTAGCATTAGCTGGTTACTTTAGCAGACGTAATAAAAAACTCCTGCCTGATCTGACCTCCTCGATCGACACATTTTGCTCCCAGTGACCATATTTACACTGGATGAAGAACAATAATAAATATTTTTCTATTTTACACAGACACACATTTTTAAAATGACTGAAACACCAATTTAAAACGATTCTGCATCTCATTCAGAAAATGCCCACAAGTCCAAAAAGATCCTAAAACCTCCAGTAAAAAATGGACGCTGTCATTTAGAGAAAAATGTGATCAGGAGGAGTAGGCTTGCAAAAGACTTCCTTTGTATTTTCTCCTTTCAGTGTGACAGGTCAAATTAAAGTAGGTAGCATGACTCATCTTCGTTCATTAAAGCATTGCAGCCTCTTCACACCTTACATAGAGTTTATTTGATAATGAAGTACGTTCCTCAAAGATGATGGGTGGGTAACAATCTGCCAGGCGTAAGGAGCAGAGTGACACTGTCATTAACTGGGAAAAGTGGGAGATTGAGTGCAAACGGCTTTTTCTCGAAAGGAAGGTGAAGTCGTCTTGTTTTATTTTATTTTTTTACAGCCTGTCAAGTGTGTTGAAGACTTCGTTTACTGTAATAAGAGAGCAGCAGGTTCCCACTCAGGCAGCTGCTGTTCAGAAGGGTAATGTTACAAAAGAGGAGTCAGAATAGGACAGACTTTATGAAATTTTGTTTTTGTGAGTCTAAACCTCCTCAAAATAGAAAAAAAGATATATATTGGAACATATTTCCATTCACTGTTAGTAATGAAATCCTCACCATGTTGAAAAATACTCATCCGCTGTTAATTTCTGCTAAATTGTTTAGTATTTTTAGCCTCAAATTCCATCAAAACATTGAATAACCAGAAAACTATTGTTTTTCTGATCTAACTTGAGTTTAAGTTCACCTCCTGAAGTTGCAAGAGTGTTATTCTTTGTTCTCTCTATCTAGTTTTATCTTATATTCAGCGCAAAGACATAAAAAAGTCTAAAGCACCAAAAAATCACCCAAGATGAAAGTGCTTCTTCAGATTTAAATCGTCAAGCACAACTTACATTAAAGTGTCAGTGGACAAAACTTCCAATAAAACGGGTCTGTAGCGCTGTTTCTGTGATGGAAAACCAGGATTTAGACACACACGACACAGAAAATAATCTGCTCTTTTTTCAGCAAATTTTATAAAAAGTCATTCCAAACTCCTCCACCACTTCTGCAATGAAAACTGTTGACTATAGAGATGCCCTGAAAAACATTGGCTGAGGGTCAGAATAAGTCAATATTCAGCAACTCGTGGTTAGACAATTGGAGAGTTAAAAATCAGACCTTAATTTTGGTCTAAGCACACCGTTGCCAAATGGAAATCAGAAAAAGAAAAATCCTACATTGCTTCTGATTTGTGCACACACCACCACTGATTCAAGCTAGAGATAAGATACCATACGACCTTACTGAACCCACAGCAGGGACATTTATGCATGACCACAGCTCAGCAAAAGAGTGCAAGACTGACCAAGAATATAAAAGATATATAATAAAATAAGAAGAAACTGTAGTTTCTATGTAGACACATGATAAGCATTATTGGGTTTTCTATTGCTAATATCGATGCTGATATGTAGGAGACATGGTAAGACGATGGCCGATATGTACTGCCAATTTTTATAGATCAATTTTCCTGGTCTAGACATTTCCCACCTCATTTTCATGCTAAAATGTCACTAATAACATTGGTTGATGCACACAAATCTGAATTTAATTATTTGTCTTAACTTAACTGTGCATTTCTCAGTATTAAAGTCAGACACCTAGATAAAGTTTATTTAGAGTATTTATTGTGCTGAAGTTGTTAGTGAATGTAAAAATACATTTAATAATAATAATAATAATAATAATAATAATAATACATTTAACTTATAGGTGCCTTTTCATCGGCCCCCAAAACCAAAATGGGTGAATTGCTAAATGCTTCTCCGCAAGAGGAGTTTTTAATTTAGAATAAGCATTAATTACTAAATGTGTTTCTGATCTGTTTTTCTAACAAAAGTTCATGAGTTTTTTTATAGTAGACATATAATCATGTAGCATCTGCTTAAAACCAAAGGGACTTCCTGTTCCTGCGATAACAGGTGCCAGCTTCACATTCCTCAGTAGTTGTGCCAGCCAGCCAACACTTATTATTAATTGCACCCCTCCCTGGTACAGGAGCATGTTTATTATTTGGAAACCCTCCAGACAAGCAGTTAATTGGCTGACCAATCAGAAGGGAGGGATGGTGACACAACCTAATTTTGGACTGAAGCCTCTATGCTTTTGCCCTGATTTAATTTGCTTTTATTTGTGCCGAAACGCTTGTTACGGATATCCAGACATGCAAACACATCTGCCTGCCAACGCGGAGCATCAAGAGACTTTGTTAGTGGAATTATGATATTTGAGCCGCTCTCAGGTTAGTTGGAGTTTAATTGTGGCACCTGTGGCCTCCGACAGCTCTTGGAGCTGGAAGCAGAGTCTGGGTGCTAGGAACAAAACATAAAACACAGCATCTCATCATCAAGGTGGGTTTGTTACTTCTGTGGTGCTGCTCTGCTCGTTAATGATGTCTTGGCTTCTGCTGTTTTCACCCACGTGTTGGTCCAGGATTACTCACACACTGCTCTGTGTTGTGACTTTAATTGGTTTTAAGCCACATCTTAGCTTTGGTTTGATTCCGTTTTGTTTAAAAGTCCCCTTTTTTGCATTTGCTTGCTAAACCTGGCAGACAGTTGTGAACACAGCTCACTGATGTGATCGTTTGCTCTAATCTTGGTCTCAAGGCAAACAGAATGCAGCTTCCAGAGCTGAATCAATATTCCTGCTCATATCATTGGATTTAATGTTGGAGCTTTGCTGTTCTTCTTTATGCCATTTCGTTCTCATGGAGCTGCTGATTACTGCTTATGGCTGCTGAGTTTGTCTGCTGCATCACTTTTTCATTTGCTCATTTTCATGTTGCTGTCTGCTCCAAACTGGGATTTATTCATGCATTTAGCTTGTTTTGAGTTTGGAATGCAAGTTAAATATTCCCAGTTATCTGCTGTTAAATAATCCAGTGGACTACCATTAGACTTGGTTTCCAGGGTAATGGAGAAGGGACCTACACTTAGTAAAATCTTGCTAATGCAGATTCTCAAATTGCCCGATTTGTTGGGGCTCTGGGATTGAAGAAGTGTTTGTTCATTTGTTTCTTCTCATTTTTCTCACAGGTGGTTAAGACCCATCCTTTCTCTCTGTTACCTCCTAAGGCTGTGCAGTATGACGGAAATCTCATCCTGATGCAAGTCCTATCATTTCCCGGACATGCAAACAGTCCATGAAGTTCTAACAGCAATGACAGATCATCCACATGGAAGACTTGTCTTGCATAAGAGTATTAAAATCCTTGCATTTTCTAATTATCTAAAATATGCAGAAACAAATCCTCCTAAAGAAATATTATATGCTATTTCACAAGTAAAATGTTTTTTACACAAACTTCATCCTTAGCTCCAACTCTCATGAAATATATTAAAATGTTTGTGTGTTTCTGAGATTTAAACCATTTCTTGCCAGGTTTATGATCAAAACCAGATCTTTGAAAAAATGTAAAAAAAAAAAAAGAAATTAGAAATTATAATAATAAATAAAATAAAATTGTAGCTTCCTTGGAGTGTCACAAATGGGCATCAAATATTTTTGCTCACTTGGTAGTTTTTGTGTAATATATTCTAAAAAAAAACTAAACAAAAAAATAACATGTTTTAGCTTTTGTGCACAAAACAATGTTGAAACAAAACTTCCTCATTTAAAAATTCATAAGTCCCAACTTTTTACACAAATTTCATCTTTTGCATCAGTCCACAAAATATAACCAAATATTTGTGTTTCTGAGATTTGACCGCTTTATTTCACCGTTTATTGCATGATCAAAACCAGAAATGCAAACAAATGAAAAGTAATATTTGTGTGTGTGTGTCGTGCAGAGGGCTTGTATTGTGGGTGAATTTTCTACACCTTGGAGTGTCACAAATAGGCATAACATTTTTTTTTAATGATTGCATTGTCTGATACACAAATACACAATCTAGTGAAAAACAATAACACTTAAAATTGGGTCTTTGACTGGTCTGGGAACACAAAAATGCTAATATGTAGCCTTTAAAAAAATATATTTACATGAGAGTAAATGGCACAAACATTTACAAAGGACTGATATTGTTATAAAATACTTTAAGCATTATATTAAATGTAGTAAGGGAATATTTTTAATTAATTTTGGTAATTTCTCCCAGAATACACATCCTGTAAAAAGAGATAAATTGCATTGGAATAGCAACATATTAACAGAAACACACCTGTCTGCTCAAAAAATGCACCAGGTGCGTGTAAGGGTTAATTATTGATCTTCTGAAATTGACCACATTTTGCTATCAACCAGTCAAAGCTGTACAAGAATCAGGAAATTAAACTTCCCCTCAAACCCAGAATCTGTGCTTCTCTTACAGCAATCAGAATATTGAGTATATTTGTAAAATGTAGTGACTTTTATAATCATGTTTCAACCGAGGAAACATACTTCATGTGTGATTTTTATTTGTCCTCCGCAACATCTCAGTTATTCTAAATCTTTTACAGCAAAATATCTTATTCCTCACAGTGTTGCATACACTTGCGTCACCTCTGCTGATGTGTTTTCATGTGGAAGAATTAGCTGAAAGTGAGGCTGATGTTTGCTCGCTTACGCTCTGTTGATTGTTTCCAGTCCCTCCAATCCAAACAGCATTATGAAATCTGTGTAGATGGTGTAGAAATCCCCAGATGAGTTGATTTCTGCAAATTCGGCAAGTACACTCCCAGCTGAGGTGCCGGCCTCTTGATTTTGTTTTGACTGGTATTGCTGTTTGCAGCTACCTTTTCAAGCCAGCATGCTGCTTGGTACTGTTCCTGCAAGATGTTGCATCTGCATGTTGCTTTGGCGATTATTCTAAACTGTCATCTAGGGATGGAAACAATATTCTTCTAAAACGGTAACTTTTGCTAAACTGCTAAATATACAGTAGTAATCATAGGAAAACATTTTTTCAGATCAATATGCCCTAGATCCACTTTTTGTACTTTTATCATTAGATGAAAGTAACTGTAAACATATTTGGTACACTATTTTAAAGAGCTGTTAACCAATAATAATGCTAGAATTATGAAATGATATAAATATAAATACTTTACAATGAGTAATAATTTTACCCTGAAATAATCACAAAACAGTCTAATGTCTCAGTCATGTTGGTAGGAAGGTCACATTGAAACATATTTCCTTCTCAGCTGACTGAATTCCTTGTTTGTGTTTAAATCTGGACTACAACACCTTTTTAAGTGTTGTGTTTGAAGGTGCATCATGTAAGAATGACATCCTGTGGTCAAAGTTGGTTACTGCAGGACATTATTCTAGATATAAATTCGCTTTCCCCAGTGCCAGAAGATTCTAGATGACAAACAAAACGTACATACACAGTAAATGGATCAGTAGATAAATACATTTTCATATCTAGTGGTGTCACTTCTGGGTGTTTTATTGAGAAAGGAAAAGAATAAACAATCTTTTATATACCACCTCTCAAGATAAATTTCACAAGGCACTTCCCAAGAATAAAAATAATTTAACAAAGAAACAAAGACTATTTCAAAAAATAGGTTAAAATATAAAATGAGAAAAAGGAAAAATTGTGACATAAAAAATGTGTACGGAAAGGGGAAGAGAAAATGAATAAGTAAGAAGTAGTCATAGTAAGAGCTGAATATGAAGGTCACATAAAAGCCAGCTTGAATAGGTGAGTTTTCAGCTGTTTTTTTAAAGGAGTCCACTGAGTCCACTGATCTCAGGCTCAGGGGGAGAGAGTTCCAGACTCTGGGGGCCACAGCAGCAAATGATTGGTCACCTTTGGTCTTTAGCCTGGTGCGCTGCACAACCAGTAGACTTTGGTCACTGGACCTCAGGGACCTGCTGGGGGTGTAGGGACTAAGAAGATCATCAATGTAAGATGGCGCTTGTCCATGTAAGGCCCTATAGACCAGAACCAGGATCTTGAAATGAACCCCGAAGTTGACTGGCAGCTGGTGAAGCTGGAGGAGAAGTGGGGTGATGTGGGGTGATGTGGGTGTGTTTGGAGGACTTGGTCAGAAGCCAAGCACAGGCATTCTGAACCACCTGTAGACGGTTCAGGCATTCGTGGAGTACAGATGCTTCTCTTTTCGCTCCCTTATCTTTTTTTTTCCCCAAGACTCTTTGTCCTGTCTGCCCACAGAGCGCTTCTCTGCATTTATTCTGAAAAACCCTATTTTTAACCATGGATTTGATAAACTGGTCATTCAATGCGATAAGATTTTTTCAACAATGAGAACGGAGCAGGGGGCTCCCACATGTCCACAGGGGACACACCCGGCGGGATAAATGCTGGATTCCCGTAAGGAGTGGAAGATAAAATGCCTCTCCCAGCTGTCCATCGAGGATATCGAAATCGTGTGGATATTCGTCCTGATGATCACTGGATTTCTCCTGATTGGAGTGGGAGGATATCTGGTTTTCTGGAAATTTGGGAAGACGGGAGCGATTGGAGGACGACCTGCACCCACGGAAAGCACCGTCCGTGTGGACTTCAGACTGGAACGTTACTCAAGGTGAATTGTAAGCTGGACAATGTTTTAGCTGCGATACCGGTATTAGTGTGCAAAATGGATGTCATCTCGGAGAGAGTCACCGGATGGTATGGACAAGTTTAAAAACCCCAAATTGGCTTCACTGAAGGACTGGAATGATCAGTTTAAAGACTGAAGGCAGAGAGGAAAACTCTCTCAGCCTGACCCAAACAAATTCTTGTTATCCGAATCTGACGCCCTGGTAGCCTTGAGCAGCAAGGCAACAAACCCCCACAAAGGAATGCAGACAGATACTGTGAAAACCCGACCGGATCCCCGGCCTCTGTCAGGTCTCTGCCGGGGTTGGGCGCACTTGGGTCCAGGGCCGCTGAGTTCCGAGCTCAGCCTGCCCTTGAGGGGGTGGCTGTGGCTGTGGTTGGCACTAAATGCACTATAAATTATTACCGTGTGCTTTTCACTAAAGATTGTTACTGTTATATGTCCTCATGCGGTTGGCGCAGTGATATTTTGGTTCTGTTGATTGTCATTTATTCTCTTTCTGCAGGTCTAGAAGTAGATTCTTCTACATCCTTTGTTTATTTTTTGAATGTTTCTCTATCCAACTCTTCCTTCTCTATCCCTCCTTTCATTTCTGTCTCCGTGTTCGTTCGTTTTAAACAAAAAATATCTAATAAAGCTTTGATATCAGGCAAGGAAATATATCAATCAATCAATCAATCAAAGCTTTATTTATAAAGCGCCTTCCGCAACCCTGTCAGGAAGCCCAAAGCGCTGAACATGGTACAGTTAAGTAAATATATTGAATAAATCAACAATAAAAGAAATTCAAATTACAAAATACAAAATGGAAATTACAAGATAGATGAAACATTCTGGTAAAGGACAA